CTGCTGGGACTGCCTCCCCTAAGCTCCCATGTGACCGCAGGGTGCAGAGCCCGAAGTGTCTCCTGAGAAGTACACGGAGGACACTATTAGGAACACTGTCCCCTCACCGTCAGGCTGGCACATGAAAACAGCCCTCAGGTGAGCGGAGCTTGGGAGAAAGTTTTCCCAGGGCCCACCTGATGCTGCCTCACCCCAGCCCCCAGCTCCAGAATGGCAGCTACTGGTAAGAATGAGAAGGGGAAAATTACAGTCCTCTGGGAGAAAACTGCAGTCCCCGGGCATCTCCCTGCCTTCCCTGCTTCCTCTAAGAGCTGAGCTACAAGTGTCAGTGAAGTCTGGGGCCCCACTTAGTCCCCCGGGGAAGAAAGGAGGCCGTGACCTTCCATTCCAGCCTCCCTGTCACTGATCCCTTTGGCCAGCAGCAGCTGCTCCCACAAACAGGAGAAGGACAAAATGAACAATGGGGAAACTGAGGCCCTGAGGGGGAAGTGGGGCAAACTGTGGCTGGGCCTGGCTCCCTAGACTCCTAGTTGGGCTTCCTCCTGGCCCATCCCCTCTCCCATCCCCCAGAGTATCCTCACTCCCTCTGGTCTACTCTTCCAGCATGGTGCTGGGGCTGGGCTCCTGGAGGATGTCACCACCACAGCCAATCTGCCCAAAGAGGTGGGAGCTCTGGTGCCAAGCCTTCCTACTTCTGCTCTCTTGATGGGTGACTGCAGGCCATCCACTCAGCCTTTGGGGCTCTTCCTGAATCTCAGTAAAATCAGAGGCAGCCTGGGGTAGGGAATGCTGACCTCCAGAGAGAGGGCTGGTCTTAACAGACATCAAGGGAGCAACCTTTCTCTGGGCCTCAGTTCCTCATCTGGAAAATAGGGGAGCTAACTGGGAGACCTCTCTGGACCATTTAACCCTGATCCAAGGGAAGCCCTCTGCACTGAGACCAGAGTGGTAGCACCTGGAATCTGGCCTCTCGCACTTGGGAGGGCAGGGACTGCGTCAAAATCATCTCCTCCCCAAGTCCATCACAATGCCTAGCACACTCCAGAAACATCCCAGAGCTGGATGACCTTCCTGGGAGGGGCTGTGTAGGAGTCTCTGAACTATCTTAAATCAGGGGCTCTGCCTGACGACCTAGAACTTCTATCTATCCATCCTTAATGCCTACTCTGAGCCTCGCTCCCTGAAGCAGATGACTTTTTATAGAGCAGATTCCACATTTCTTCACAAATGTTGCAAGCCTGCCGGCTCACCCGGTTTGCATTTGGCTTTGAATTTGTTGTGGGGACTTCTAGGAAATCAGCAATGAGTGATTCTAATAATTGCTTGTTCTTGGAAACCTCCTAAAATAACTTGGCCAAATGAGGGTGGGGGTAGGGCAGGGCAGTCCTCTAAGATGACATTTCTCCACCATTCCATCCCTGGTCTAGAGTCCCAGTTACTCATAAAAGAAGTTTTTGTATGCATAGTTCCAAATGTTAATGAATTTCCAGGAAATATCACCAAAATGATGTTGGCATCGTTAAGATGTGTTTTTCAAGAACTCTTGCTAGCTGCTCCCTTTTCCTGCAGGCTCCAACTGCATAAAATAAGTCAGTTTCTGGGATATATTATTGGAGCTGTGTCTCAATGGCATAACTGATGAAATCAGATTCTCAGAATCTCCCAGTCTAGAGACTTCAGAGTCCGCTCATGCAGATACTGCGCATTCTCTCCTCCCAAAGTTGACACTTTCCATAGCTTCGACTCTATCCACCCATGGAGTCCTTAGGGCTTCTGTGAAAGTCAATATTTTTGGCCTTATTTCTTTAATTGTCATCTCTCTTCAGCTTAGTGGACAGTCTGGTGTCAACTGAGTTCCTGAAGGACCACAGCTATCATCAGGGTGCTTGGGGCAGAGTCCCAGCCCAGAAGGCAGCTGCATCTGGCAAGCTGCCATCATGTCCCCATGTGTTTGGAGGCGCCCCTTGCCCCCCATGCTGTCTTCACACCCATCTGATGGCCTGGCCCTGTCTCAGTCCCAACCTCAATTGAGCTTCCGTTGCTAGAAAGAGGCAACCAGAAATGACCAGCCCCAAGGTCACAGCTTCACGCCAGTCTGGTGAGTGGGTGTTTAGCACCTTCCCCTGGGAGAGGAGCTAGGCCGCAGAAACGAGCTTGGGTTACATTCCAGGGTCCAGCCAACTTGGCAGCCCCGTGGGTCAAGGCTGGTGTGCAGCCAGCCATGAGTCCAGCACAACTAAAAGGCATAAAACAGTGCTTTGCTGCACAGATACCCTCTCATGGGCAAGCTTCGTCAGCAGTGCCACCCACAATCCATTATTTCAGCTGCCATGCTCCTCCTAACACTGTTCCTCCTGCCAGGAGTCCCTACTCCACATCTTACTAATGCATCTGGAACCCAGCTTCCTATGGGGTCCAAATGCTACCTCTGGTGTGGCTAGTGAGGAGTGCTGAAGGCCATGGGTGGAGAGCAGAGTCTCCTCTGCCATCTCCAGTCTCAACACACCCAGTCCTGCCCAAGCAAAGTCCTGTCCAAGAAAGCCTTGAGGCTTTCTCACCAGTTCTGCATGTGTGAGCTTCATCAGAGGCTGGAGCTGAGGTCTTGGCTCTGGAACATCAAGGGGACCCCTCATTCTGGATATCCAAGTTTTATTGAAGGCTGGAACTGGGGTCTCAGCTCTGGAACATCAAGGGGACCCTCCTTCTGGATGCACAAGCTACACTGGAGTCTGGAGCTGAGGTCTTGGTTCTAGAACATCAAGGGGGCCACTCATCAAGGACATCTGAGCTTCACTGGAGGCTAGGGATGGAGTGTCGGCTCTGGAACATCAAGAGGACCCTCATTCCGGATGCCCAAATGTCATCAAAGGCTGGAACTGGGGTCTCAGCTCTGGAACATCAAGGGGACCCTCATTCTGTATGTTCAAGTTTCACTGACGGCTGGAACTGGGGTCTCAGCTCTG